AGAGAGGTCCTTGCTGTTGGTGACAGCAGCAAGGAATTGGGTTGGAAAGAGGAAGATCTTCTTGTATTATTATATTCTTGGAAGCGGTGCGTTTGCCTCTGTTTACAGAGGAAAGATGAAAACCGAAAAGGAAGAGGAGCGAACTGAGGCATGGAAAGTTTGTCGCGAATCGCTTAATCCCGGAATTGCAAGCCTTATCCTGAATGAACTTAATCTTCTAAGGGAAGTTATCAGTTTTTCTAGTCATTTAAAACCATTATAAATCATGGATTTGCGAGAATCCGTGGGGTTCAAATATTCACAAAACGTTTTTCGTCATTATTATCGGTAACCGTCTACTTTACGCAGTCCTGATTCGTTTTCTCACCATATAATTTTGCCGCACAAAGATTCTCACATAGTGGACATGAGCAAAACAGTGGGAGTCCAAAAAATGGAGGGATCAAGCAAAGAAAAACACATATTGCGAGAGAGAGTCTCTAAGATTTGAATCAAAGTATCAGTTCGGCCCATTGAAGCACTCGTTCTGTTTTGTTCGTTTCTAAATGACGCCGTGTGGCTGTGCAATAATGTATATTCATTATTATGTCTTGGCTTTATAATTACAAGTCCATACAGTGGTAATGAGGTGTTTTCCAATGAACTTAAAGATTCAGTTGTTTAAAGCATTGTTAAAGATGATCATCTATTTTTTTGTTACCTAAGCATTTTATTCCATCTCCTTCATAACCAGCATTACAAATACAGTTGTGAGATCCCTCAGTATTTTGACAGGCAGCATTAACATCACATCGGTGGGACTTGACTGTGCACTCGTTAATATCTGGAAAAGGACAAAAGTTCCGCTAAAACCTTGTATTCCAAACTGGCTGTATTTATCATTACAACTTGTTTTCACACGGCTAAAGCTTGTGGGAGACAAAACACGTGCCCTGATTACACGTGGCTAGGCGGGTTGGGAAAGAGTAAGATAAAGTAACCAAGGACTGTCCACGGATTGTGCACGGATTGGCCACGAAATGCCTTCGGATTTCCCTCGGATTGCCCACAGATTACCAAGAAATGCTTAAGATAGCCGATGTAGCTGCTTAAACTCACTTTTTCAGACAGATCATTTTTAGGGGTAGTAAATAATTATAGTTCGTATTGTTTCAATGGAAAATGGAAACCTGATGATCTGTGAGGTGAAACATACCATTGGGTGTGGTTACAAACAAAAATAAACAAAATAGCAATTATCAAATCGTCTGCTGATGTCTTACGAAACTAACAGGGCTCAAGATAAAGCCTTTCTCTTCGTTTAAATCTAGTCAGCTGTTTACCTTTAAAACAAGTAAATTTAAAACAGTTATCGCATGATACGTCATTCCAAGTGTATCCATTCTTTGCACCAAGAGTGTGTACACAGTCCTGATCCGTATAATTGTTGGGTTGGTTTGGCGCCCAGTAACTAAAATTACTTGTGCCTTTCTTTGTCCACACGAATGATCCTTCCACGCTTCGGTCATTGAGCCCAATCCAGGATTTCTCGCCATTATGCCGATGTTGAATGTAGACATTTTCTTCTTGATTATGGACTGTCACAAGATTTGAGCCCATTTTAGCACATTTTGTTTCAGCAGTTGGCCACGTGGAGCTTAACAGGCTTGTGAAATAACAGTAGCCATCGAAATAGTCCCATCCAGGCTGACATATCCCTGTATATAATGTAAATAGGTGCTTAAGCGCATCAATAAAGATCTGTTTTTAAGCATGAAACAAGAATTAGCGGTTCGTATAGACGATGTTACGTCTGTTCCAATTACGTTATGAGCAGCTAATTTCTAAGATAAATATTTTGCTTATAGGAGAGCCCCATAACACTGACCTTGACTAACGTTGAACTGCTATTCTGCGTGAAAGAAATTTCTGGGCGGCTTGTGTGGAGATAAATTTTGTTGATGAAAGCGATTTTGACGTTAAAGGAACAGTATTTCTTGACCAAGATATCATGATGAGCGTTAAACAGTCTTTAAGTTGGAAAAAAATACTTAATTTTTTTCTCTACTATGAAAAATAACAGTTATCAGCGTGGCCAAATCCACACTCTAACTATCTTCTCTGTCTCTTAAGTTCTTAATGCTAATAGACACTTACGACTAGTTAATAGCAATCATCCACAGCATGGTTGCATCCATGCCATTGCTCTGATCAGATATTAACCAAAATCAAGTACCCATGCGTAAACCTTCTACGGTGACGCGTTAACATTAAACACGAAGGCGCGCTATATAAGCAAGTCTTCCCTGGGAAGACCAAGGCTCATTTGTCAATCACCGTTGACGTGCGCGGGTCAAATTTAAAATGGCGGGCGTTTTGAATACTCGAAAGGTAAGGTATACGAGAATTGATGAGCCTTTCCTGTCTTAGCTTGCCCTAGAATTGAAATATCTTTATCTAAC